TGATGGCAAACAACAATCAGATGGGCAGGGATGGACTTGGTATTGATGAATCTAAAGAAGAAAGGCAGAAAGAAAGCCAGATCTTAAATACTTGACCAAAAAAACCCAATCTAGTAAATAAACTTTAAATGAGAAATTATTTAATTACTGCTTCATTTAGGAATAGAAGGAAATTAATTTTAAACAATATTTTGTCTTTCTGCTCTCAAGAATCTTCTCCTTTTTTTATTTTGAGTAGGTTAAACCCAACTTTTTCCTAAGGTACTTTTCTATTTTAGAGGATTAGAAAAACCTTATTGTCTTCCAGTTGGAACTGACTTACAGTCAACTCACCATTGGGTTTCTGAGGCTGTAAATTACGTGGGAGGAGACTGAGCCTCTTTCTCCCACAGAGCAACCAGTGTATCTGGCCTGCTAGAGGGTGAAGCCTTTAGGTTCACAGCACAGTTTCCCATGGACCATGCCATCAGAGCATCAGGACACAATATATACTTTCACTGCACTAAACTTTGAGCCCTGGCGGCCTAGTGACAAAAAGCTGTGCTGCAATATCAAAGGCAGGCAGTTTGAGGCCACCAGCTGCTCCTCGGCAGAAAGACGGGCAATTTCTTCCCTTATGATTAACTGCCTCTAAAAACCCACTAGAAGTCAGCTATGGGTCAGTTTTGACTCCACAGTACACAAGAATATACTAAATTTACATCAGGTTAAATTCTCCTTTGTTTTTAATATATGACATAGACAATCATATCAAACTATGTATTTTTAAAGTGACTATATTTTAAAATTAAATAAACAGCCTCACAAGTGAGTGAAATAAGGAAAATTAAAGAGCAGTTTATGTATCACAAGCTATTGAGACAAACTTTAACTGTGCATATTCTTTAAGTGTTTAAGATTACATGAGTTTATATGTAGTAGTGTAAACTTTCTGTTTGCTTCATTAAGTAGCGTACAATTTCTGCTTTTCAATGAAATACAGGTGGAAAAGATGTTGAGCAACTTTGGGGACTGTGTCCAGTACAAAGAAATAGTCAAAAGCTCCCTGGAAGATTTGATTTCTGGCTCCAAAGACGTTCAGGAAGAAGCTGAGAAGATCTTGGACGCTGAGAATCTGTTTGAAGCCCAGCAGTTACTTCTTCATCACCAGGTAGAAAGCTCTCACCCCAGTTGTTTCCTGAAAGCTTGCTAATTACAGACAGATCCAGAGAGGTGAAAAGTAAGACTCCCCCTAGGTGGGGGAGAGATGGAATTAAATGGTTGAAAAAAGGAAAACTCAAACCAATACCCTAGACACATTTGTTCTGTGTGTTAAATATATTAATTGTTGTTGTTGTTATGTGCCGTCGAGTCGCCCGCGACTCATAGCGACCCTATGTACAACAGCCCTAAACTCCGCTCTGTCCTGTGCCTCTCCCATCCCAATTATCCCAGTCACTGAATCAATCCACCTCATAGAGGGCCTTCCTCTCCTGCGCCGTCCCTAGGTTAGAAAATCCTATACAATAAATTCTGAGACTGAGTGATGCAGTGCTACCCAAAAGTTTGAGGAAAACTGAAGAGGGGAGATGATTTAACTGTGAAAACAGGCAGGGCATCTTGTAAATTGTCCTTTTAATAACAGAAGTAAAGCTTCAGTGGGGCACTATTAGAAATCGCTATTCTTTTGTCATTATGCTAAATTTTGTCCCTTGACTCTACATCTTTAAGTACATCTTTTAAAAAAAATTCAAAATTCTTTTATATACATGCCTTTTCAGGACAGGAAAATCTGAGATTGTTTTAAAATTAAGAACAAAGAACATTTCATACATAGATTAATAATAAATAATTTGGATTAACTGTAGTCCTGACAGTCTGGCAAACATATGGGATATATTACTTACAAAACTGTATTAAAATGAAACTATTATTCAAATAAAATTATCCAACCTGAATTAAAAAACCATCTCAAGAACAGGCATGAGGCCTTAAACACTAACGAGCAGAGGCTAGATGAGCTGTGGAAGGATATCAAGAATATTATCCATGAAGAATGCAAAAGGTTATTACAAAGACAGAGGAGGGAGAAACAACCAAGGTGGGTGTCAAAAAAAGACTGCAAATTGCACTAGAGCACTGAGAAGTGAAAGCTAATGGAAGTATCGAGAAAGTTAAGGAGCTGAACAAAAGATTTCAAAGTATTATAATAAAACGTGCAAAGAGCTGGACTCGGAAAATTAAAAGGGCTGAGCTCACTTGGCATTTCTTAAGCTGAAGGAACTGAAAAACAAATTCAAGCCTTGGATGCTCTAGGCAGAATGTTGAATGACCCAGGAAGCATCAAGAGAAGATTGGAAAGAGTATACAGGCTCTGTACCAAAAAGAATTGGCTAGCGTAGAAGAATTTCATGAAACAACATACGTACGACCTAGGGGCCATGGTGATAAAGGAGGAAGTTCAAACTGCTCTGAAGGAATTGGCAAAAAACAAGGCCCCAGGAACTGATGGAATACTAACTGACATATTTCAGCAAACAGATGGAGCTTTGGACATGCTCACCAGGCTGGGCCAAAATATCTGGAGAACAATCACTTGGCCAACTGACTGTATGAGATCTGTATTTATTCCCACTTTAAAAAAAAAAAAAAAGATGATCTAGCAGAGTATAGAAATTATTGAACTATGTCAATAATATTATACATAAGCAAAATCCTGCTAAAGATCACCCCAAAATCATTGGAACAATACATTAACAGAGAGCTCCCAGAAATAAAAGCTGGGTTTAGAAGAGACCACGTCACTATTTCTGACATCCATTTTGGTCTTTTCTTCCTCCTCCGTCTTTGCAATGACCTTTTGCATTCTTCATGGATGATATTCTTGATATCCTCCCATAACTCTTCACTCATTAGTTTTCAAGGCCTCAAACTTGTTCCTAAGATGGTTCTGAAATTCAGGTGAGATAGACTCAAGGTCATATTTTGGTTCCCATGGGTTTGATTTTAACTTTCCTTAGCTTCAGCTTAAACTTGCATATGAGTAGTTGGTGGTCTGTTCCACAATCAGCATTGGGCCTAGTTTTCACAGTTGATATTGAGCTTCTGGAGCACCAAGAAGTCAAAGCAGAAGGAAGAAATCAAGACATTAAGGAGCTGAACAGGAGATTTCAAAAGGCTGTGCGACAAGACAAAGTAAAGTATTAAAATGAAACGTGCAAAGATCTGGAGTCAGAAATTCAAAGGGGCCGAACTCGCTCAGAATTTCTTAAGCTCAGGCAACTGAAGAGGAAATTCCAGCTGCGAGTTTCAATACTTACTGATGCTTTGGACAGAATATTAAGTGATCCTGCAAGTATTAAAAGAAGATGGAAAGAGTATACAGAGTCCAAAAGGAAGTGGCAGACACAGAAGAATTTAATGAAACAACATATGAGCAAGAGCCTATGGTGATGAAGGAAGAAGTTCAGACTGCTTTGGAAGCATTGGCTAAGAAGAAGGTCCCAAGAATTGATGATATATCATTGATATATTTCAACTAACAGATGCTGCCCTAGATGTGCTTGCCAAGTTGTGCCAAGAAATCTGGAAAACAACCACTCAGCCAACTGACTGGAAGATATCTATATTTGTTCCCGTTCCAAAGAAAGGTGACCCACAGAGTGTGGGAATTATTAAACAATATCATTAATATTATCGAACAATATCATTAATTTCACATGCAAGCAAGATTCTACTGACAATTATCCAGAAAACGACTGGAACAGCACATCAACAGAGAACTACCAGAAGGGCAGGCTGGGTTTAGATGGGGTCATGGTGCTAGGGATAATGTTAGATGTTAGATGGATCTTGGCTGAAAGCAGGGAATACCAGAAGAATGTCTAATTTGACAGTGTGGATCATATCAAACTGTGGCTGACTCTGAGAAGAATGGGAATCACAGAACACTTGATTGTGCTCATGTGAAACCTATACTTGGACCAGCAGGCAGCTGTCAGAACAGAGCAAAGAAACACTGCATGGTTCAAAATTGGGAAAGGTGTACGCCAGGGATGTATCCTGTCTGCACACGTTTTCAATCTTTATTCAGAACAAATTATCCGAGAGGCTGGGCTCTATGGGGAGAAATGTGGCATCAGGATTGGATAAAGAATCATCAAACAATCTGCATTATACAAATGACACAACTCTGCTTGCTGAAACTGAGGAGGACCTGAAGTGCTTGCTGTGGAAGGTCAGGGACTGCAGTCTTCAGTATGGATTGAAGCTCAGTATCAAGAAAACAAAGATTCTCACCACTGGGCAAACTGGCAGCATTGTAATGGATGGTGAAGAGATTGAGATTGTCCACAGTTTTGGTTTGTTTGGCTCAACAGTCAACACTCTTGGCACCAGCAGCCAGGAAATTAAAAGACGTATTGCGATGGGAAAGTCTGCAGTTAGAGACCTCTCTAAAGTACTGAAGTGCGACTATGTCAGTCTGGAGACTAAGGTGCGCCTGATACATGCCACAGTCTTTGTAATCACTTGCTATGCATCAGAGAGGTGGACAATGACTAGGGATGATAGAAGGAGAATTGATACCTTTGAGCTATGGTGTTGGAGAAAAGTGTTGAATATTCCATGGACTGCTAAGAAAATGAACAGGTTCATCCTGGATAGAGTGAAGTCGGGCTGCTCCTTGGAGGCAAGGACTCTGAAGCTTTGTCTGACATACTTTGGACATGTTGTAAGGAGGGACAGGTCCTTGGAGAGGCACGCCATGCTTGGTAGGGTTGAGGAACAGCACAGGAGAGGAAGATCCTCTTTGAGGTGGATTGATTCAGTGACTGGGGTAATGGGGGTGGGTGTGTCAGAGACAATGAAATTGGTTCAAGATAGAGCACATTAAGGGCTATAGAGTCACTATGAGTTGTAGTTGACTCTATGGTACATAATAATAACTTTAAAAATTCTGGTTCATTCAATGGGTAGCAAAATGCTGACTGATTTTACAACTAATAAGATAACAAAAATAGAAATTGAGTTAGAAGTGGATATATATGACAGATATTAGACTTTATAGATTTTCTTAATAATTATAACAATGAGAGAATATGAAGCATGAAAGCTTAGAATTATTATATTCTCAGTTGTTACAAAATTCAAAATCAGAAAAGCAAGAGTGCAGCTATTTAAGCAGGAAAAACCCCTCACAATATAAATGAACAAAATATAATATAAATGAAGAACTATCTGGAACACAAAGTACATGCATGAAACCCAATGTACATGAATGATAAAAATATTAATACAAAAAGGAAGAAAAATAATATCATTATTTATAGGAATATTATAAATCTTTTTTTCACATTTCTTAAATACGTTTGGTTACATGGATATTTTACCTTGTGAAAATTTATAAACTAGTCCTTTATTTACATTATAACTCATTGCTCTCAAATCAGAATTGACCCATAGCTGACAATCTGGTGGGTTTTCTGAGGATGTATTATTATATATGATATTAATATATGACATTGCATTGCATTGCATTACACTGGAGCTTTGGTGGCCTAGTGGCAAGAAGCTGTGCTGCAATCTCGAAGGAATGTGGTTCAAGGCCACCAGCTGCTCTATGGGAGAAGGAGGCACAATCACCTCCCATGCGATTAACTGCCTTTGAAAACCCATGGGAGGGTCAGCTATGGGTCACTTCTAACCTGATGATAAACAACAGCATAACCCATTATATGATTATATAGGAGCAGATTATCCATCATTGTCTCTCAGAGCAGCTGGTGGATTCAAACAGCTTACCTTCAGGTTGAGAGTGCAACTCTGTACCCACCACGTCACCAGAGCTCCTTTATTTACATATCCTGGAAAAAAATTGTACTTTGGAACATAACTAACTTTCCCCAAAATACCACAACAGATTAATCGTCCCAGATACACTCAGGAGTTAAATGTCATAACCTACATGTATGCAGGACAACTAACAACCTTTTTATTAGGGTTTTATGATATTAGGCAGGGGAAAAATGACATAAGGAGAAGAGTGTCAAATTAATGCTTTTGACATAGTCCCCTGGAATAATGCAAAACATTCTAAAAGCTCTCTTCATTGTATACAAATACACCATTAAATTCTAATTAATGATGTAGTTTGCCATTAAAACTTTATTTAAAACATTTCTACTTTTGGACTTATGTGTCCATTAAACAGTCCATTACTACAGCGTCCATCCAGCGCACAGTGACCTCTAGGACAGTGTAGAGCTGCCCCAAAGTACTTCCAAGGCTGATGTCTTTACAGACCCATGCTGTCATACCTCTCTTCCCTAGGACAGTTAGAGATTTGTACCTCCCACCTTTTGGTAGTTCTGGTGGCCTAGTGGTTAAGGAGTTGAGCTACAAACCCAAAGTAAGACAGTTAGAATTCACCAGTTGCTTAGTGGGAGAAAGTTGGCCAGTTGTCTCTCAAGCCATTTGTTTACAGCATCTGAAATCTCACCGGAGGGCCAGTTAGGAGTCAGTTCTGACTCAAGGCGTGTAACAACCACCTCCCCCACCCTTCTGTTATCAGCTGAGCATTTTACTGTGTCGCCAGGGCTTTTATGTCTAGTATCCTCATTGTTATCCAGTGTACCCTGACTCACAGGAATTTCTAAGGCTGTCAATCACAAGGGAGGCAATTGACCATCTTTCTTCTAAGAAAATACTGGTGGATTCAAACATCAAGAAGTCAAGCCCAGCTCTTTACAGACTTCCCCAGCAGGGCTATCTCATATTATTTTAATTAGTTCTTGAGTGATTCAAAACAGTTTGTTATCTAGTACTAACCTAACGACTGGCAGTTCGAACCCATCCTGCGGCACCACCGAAGAGACCCTGGTGATTTACCACCGTAAAGGTTACAGCCCAGAAGGCCTGATGGAGCTGGGTTCCGCTGTGGCAGGTGCAGGCGCCGCAGCCAGAATCTTCACTTTAAGACACAGCTGGAGTCCCGCTAGCCGGGGGCTTAACTTTTCTATGTCCCTGTTCCATGGGTGTGTCCCTGCATAGCTGCTTACTGTCCATCAAATGCTTCCAGCAACAGACGAAGAGGATTTCTGCAAAGAAGAGAGACGTGGAGCAGCAGATCGCGCAGGCGCGGCCGGGGGACATGGGGCTGCAGGGCCGCGTGCGGAAGGAGCTGCAGCAGCTGCAGGGCACGCTGGACGGAGTGGAACAGAGCCGGGAGAAGCAGGAGCGCCGCATCCAGGTGGGGCTGGGAGGGAGGCCTCCGCATGCAGGGAAGGGTAAAAGGGAGGATGCGGCATCCAGGTGGGGTTAGAAGAGATGCTGCCGCATCCAGGTGAGGCTGGAAGAGATGCTGCTACATCCAGGTGGGGCTGAAAGAGATGCTGCCGCATCCAGGTGGGGCTGGAAGAGATGCTGCTGCATCCAGGTGGGGCTCAAAGAGATGCTGCTGCATCCAATTGGGACTAGAAGTGGGTCTGGGTAGAACTGGATAGACATGGACGTGGTGTTGTTCTATCCAGGTAGAGCGAGAAGTGATGCTGCTGCATCCATTTAGGACTAGAAGTGGGTCTGGGTAGAACAGGGTAGACTGAGCACAGAGTTCCTGCATCCAGGTAGGGCTAGAAGTGATGCTGCTGTATCCAGGTAGGCCTGGGTATGACCCTGCTGCATCCAGGTAGGGCTGGTCATGATGCTACCACTGTGGTAGTAGCAACCAGGTAAGGCTGGAAGTGATGCCACTGCTGCAGGCAGGTAGGCTGGGGCATGGTGCTGTCACATCCAGGTGGGGCTTGGATTTGTGCTGGTACATGGAGATAGGCCTTGGCATGCTGCTGCACCAGATAGACCTGGGCTTGGTGCTGCATCCAGGCAGGCCTGGCCATGGTGTCATCACATCCAGGTAGACCTGAGCTTTGTGCTGCTGCCTCCAGGTAAGGCCTTCATGTTGCTGCATCCAGGTAAGATTGGGTGTCCTACTGCAGGAAGAGCATCACTTCCCAGATGAACAGGAACCAATCTTTGCCTTTGATGCCCCACTTCCCCGACTTGGCCCTTTTAATTGTCACAATGGGCTTGCCAGGTGGACGCTGTCAGTGGCACATTTTACCACTGTAAAATTCTTGAAATCTTGAAAAAGAAAGAATTCAAGGCCCTTGCCTAAAATCGCACCATCTAGATCAGTAAGAGAGACAGTCTTCTGACTCCAGAAATGCACATCTGTCATTGAGCTCTTCCACAGAGTCCAACAGCTATTACATTTTATTATGTTCGCAGCACATTATTTCACGTTTTTCCCTTCATCGTTGCTCACTTTACCTGCCCCCTTCCCTTGCTCCCTGGCCACCTTTCTTTTTTAGTGATTAGAGGGTCCCTCCTCCACATTCTAGAAGATATCGTTAAAGTCAGCATCTGGCAACTGGGGAGAAACTCAGAGAGCTTCTGGTTCACACCCTTCTGTTTGGAAATGATGGCATGAAGACCTCATGTGGACTTCCTCCTGGAAGATGCTAGACAAAGTGTTCCTCAATTGATTGCATGAAATTTGAGTTCGTCGTTCATCCAGAAGTCCACGGCTTCCCAGATGAACCCAAAAAAAATGTGACAATATTTTGTGACACACTTTGATAATGTGTACATGGATTTTTTTTTCCCCTTTTTCAAATGTAGGTCACATTACGGAAATGGGAACGATTTGAGACGAACAAAGAGACGGTGGTCAGGTACCTTTTCCAGACAGGTTCCAGCCACGAACGCTTCTTGAGTTTTAGCAGTTTGGAAAGCTTGTCATCAGAACTGGAACAAACAAAGGTATATCAGTAAAGCCATTTGGTCTCTTAGTGACCATGGTTTAGAAGAAAAGCTGTGATTCTACTCTGTCACTACAATTAATCACCACTACTATTTATGTGACTTATAATTATTCTCTGTTGAGAAGGATGTCATGTTTGGAAGGACACGCATGGAGGGACAGTGCAAGACAGGGAGACCCTAGATGAGATGGATTGACACAGTAACTGGGATTTTGGGAGTAGGTGTATTGAAAACAGTGAGCTATTGTGCATAGCATTGCTATGAGTCATAAGTGACTTGACAACACATAACAACAACAACATTAGTAGTTCATGGATTTCCCTGGGACATGGAAACATATACAAGATTTAAACATCAAACTAAGAAAATGATTAGAATTGAGAAATGGTTAGTGCTCCGGTCTGTGGATAGATAATAAACATCTTTCTGGAGGGAGCAATGTTTTTAACTGAAATTTAAAGACCAAATGAGATTAAGAAAGAGAGAATTTGGACAGCAGAGAGAGGAAATGGTATGAGCAAAGAGAGGAAGAATGGAAGTTCTAAATACAAGGATTTTTTTGTTATATAGCACAAGACCCCCAGTAGGACTGTGAATTATATCTTGTGCTATCAACTGAAAGGCTGGCAGTTCAAACACACAAGAGAAGGCTGATGTGGTCATTGTATAAAGATTCCATATAGATTGACAGCATCAGAAACCCTAAGGGGAAGGTCTGTGGATCTCTGTCCTGTTGAGTTGCTGTGGGTTAAAATCAACTTGGCAGCTTTGGATTTGGGGATATGACTGTTGTAAAGCAGGTTCAAGGCAAATGAGTTTCTGGAGGCAAATTACACCAGGCCACAGAGTCCTAAAAGCCAAAAACAAGCATGACTCTCCAGGCATCATGGGGCTAATGAAGGGTCTTAATAAAGAGGGCCAACGTTCAAAGTTCAGACGCTCACACCATTGAGAAGAGGTGTTCTCTTTCTCTGCGCACCAAGGAATGGGAAACTAAGCCATCTCCACATCAAGGCACAGCTCTGCTGATGGGATGCTCTAAGCTAGAGAGTGGCATGGGTCAAGGTCACACCGCTGTTGAGGGATAGAATTCTGTTTAACTCCAGATCTATCTGACACTGGAGTCTGTTTGCTCCTGGGGAATCCTGCTGCTGTGTATGTATCAGAGGCTAGGACAGAAAGCTTGTAAAGGTCTTCCACTTCTGTTTAGCTTTGTTTCCAATCAAAGTTATTCTGTTCTTTAAGAGTCCTGGTGGTGCATTACCTAAGCATTCAGCGCCTAATGGAAAGGTTGCCAGTTTGAATCATCCAGCCGCTCCTATGACAATTATAGTCTAGAAATCCCCCTGGGGAAGTTTTCCACTGTCACCTGAGGGCCCTGTGAGTCAGAAGAGATTTGACGGCACCCAAACATCAAAAATCTGTTCTTTGATTCTTCTGTTCTTTGATTCTTCTACGTAGTACTTCCCCCACATTCCACCCACACCCAAGGCTCTGAGATCAAATGGATAGAGCCTTTTCAAAGAGAACTCCATATTTTCTATTCTCAGATCCTGAGAAACACTTGGCCTCCCTTGGTGAGTCAAACCATGTAGGGTTGGGCTATTAACCAAACACTGGTGGTTCAAACCTTTCCCCCTCTTAGGCACCTTAGAAGAAAGGCCTGGCAGTCTCTTCCCAAAATATCAGCCTCTGGAAGCGCTGTGGAGCACAGTCCTACACTGACACACCTGGTTCGTCATGGGCTGGAATAAACTCAACAGTGATGGGTTTGAGTTTGGAGGGACGGGGTTTTAGGGAAGTCACAGGAAGAAAAACCCTTTTATACTTCTGATTCTATTCATGGTATTCTGACAAATTATCCTATGATTCAGCCTTCATAACTGAATCTGTCATGATGCTAAGTTCACATGTGATAATAGTGTTTCTTACAATGACATTTAATTTGGTGACATTAATAAATGTCATATGTTGGGATACAGAAATCTCTGTACCATAAGGAAGCTGTAATTAAACTTTTTTTTTTTCTTTTCCCAAATTACAGAGTACATCTCTGAACTAACCCTCCTATCTCTACAAGGACATTAATTAAGTCTTTGAAGACCTGAGATTCCAGGGTGTTCTGTGGTATCTGCCTTACAGTTTTATGTACAGATTCTAACATGCTCCACAGGTGACTGATAAAGATCTGAGCTTTTAGAGATTAGCTCCATTAGCCTGTCAACTTTTGTGTCCCCTATTTGGGAAAGGTAAATTGTTGATGGGATTGAAATCCCTTATGAGAGTCTCTTACAGGGGAGGAAATGAAACACTTTCTTAATACAAGATTACCTCTGAGTTTCCCTTTCTTAAATGCAGTATTTGTCTTCTCACAGTCAGATAATAGCAAAAGTTCACCATCATCACATACATACTAAGATCATTTTTGTCTCAAACTTGTTAATTATTAAATATGTGTTATTATACGTATTGTTTAGTGCCATCAGTTTTTGACACATGATAACCCCACGTGACAAAGCAGAACTACCTTATGGGGTGATTTAGGCTGTAACATAACAGATCACCATGGTTTTCTCCCACAGAGCAACTAGGTGGATTTGAGTTGCCAGCCTTTCTGTTAAGAGCTGAATGCTTAACATTTGCTTCAGCGGGGCTCCCCTTTATTGCACTTAAGCTAAACAAACAAACAAACAAACAAACAGAAACAACCCATTGGCATTGAGTTGAATCTAGCTCATTCTCAGTGACCCTCCAGAGGACTTCTAAGGTTGTAACTTAGTGAGAAGAGACTGCCTCATGCTTCTACCGTGAAGTGGCCGGTGGGCTCAAACAGCTAACCTTGCAGTTAGTAACCGAACATTTAGTAACCTACAGTCCCACCAGGATTCCTTACAGATTATACAGTTATTGAAAAGTCAGTATATGAACTTTACAAGTCATTTTGTCCTCAGTTTTAGGTGAGGGATAAAAACTCAGTATATGAACTTTACAAGCCATTTTGTCCTCAGTTTTTGTTGAGGGACGTAAAACATTAATAGATCCCTTCCATAACCTCAAACACAAAAATGAAATCATTAATGATGTGCAAGCAGTAATTTCATAAGAAAAACATCACCAACTGAATTTTACATGAAAGACGCTGGAAAGTTAAGCAATTCAACTGAAGTCAAACAGCTAGTAATTGGCGTGGTCATGACTCGACTGCAAGTTTGGCAGGTTCAATACAACTTCCTTCCCACACACCAGATCCACACCCACACCTACAGCTGTCCGGTCAGTTATAACTTGGAGCACATCAGGAATGCCATGTCCATCTCGCAAGACAGGGTAGACCTTCCCGGAGATTTTCTGTGGCTTTAAATATTTACAGAAGCAGCCTGCCATATCTTTCTCCAAAGGAGGAGCTGGGGGTGAATTTGAACCATCAACCTTTAGGATAGCAACCGAGCCTTTTAACCCCTGTGCCACAAAGGCTCTTTTTCCGTCATGCAGTATATGTATGTCTAGAAAAAACCTGAAAATCTTTAAAATCATGATGATGATGTCATTTCTTGAGAACTGGTTAATAAAATGCTTTCTTGTAGTAATATCACTATTATTCTGTATTGATCAAGACATTCTTCCCTTAAATGAACATTTTTCCATTCCTTAGCCTAGACCTCTTTTATTTTGATGATTGACAAATCTATCACGGATGATCATTTCTCGAGGTGACCCATGATAAACGCACATAGTTGTGAGTGAATTATTATAATGATGCTTAGGGTGTTAAATAATAAACTATAATCAAAATATAATAGAGAGCATATAATCTGTGTGTGTGAATATGTGTGTGTACACATTGTATGAGTTGTTGGATAACTATGCAAATAGATATCTGACAAAATGAAAATAACCAAATAGTTCTTTTGATCAGGATCATAATAGATCCATTTTATTAGTTAAGAATTGTTTAAGTTCTAGATCTTTCTGAAGCCATTCATCCACTCAGCCATTCATCTAATTTTATGTGCATCCTGGAGGCACATCTGAAGTACATGCCATTCCACTGGGGACAGGTTCATAGAAACTGCTGTTGTAACAACTGTGATATCTTTTTCTAGGAGTTTTCTAAGCGAACAGAAGGTATTGCCATTCAGGCCGAGAACCTTGTCAAGGAAGCCTCTGAAATACCGCTCGGGCCCAAGAACAAGCAGTTGCTTCAGCAACAGGCAAAGTCCATCAAAGAGCAAGTCAGAAAGTTAGAAGACACGCTCGAAGAAGAGTATGTGCTTGACAACTCCTAAACTTTCTTCTCTGAGATAAAATTTCCCGGATATTGTATTCAAACCATTCTTCGAAAAAATCTCAAAGTGTCTGTGTATTTCAGCATGTTTTCAGGAAGCAACTCATAATTCCAAAGAAAGTATCACCTATCCAGAAAGCAACAAGAATAGCAGGGATGTGGATATTGCATCTTATGCTGATTCTGTTCATGAGAATCTCAAAAGGGAATCAATATTTAAAAGCATTTTGTTAGTGTGTTAGTCTCACTAGGTAGATTTGCACTTACACATAGATCATGTAGACCAAATGTCCCAATCGTCGGGAGCCCATGCAGCTTTTCTGTGGTGCCTCAAGCCATGTTGCCAGAAATCAGTGTCTTATTCTAGGGATTATCTTCAAAAGTTATTTTTGGGTTTTTTTTTTAAACTTGTAATGCCTCTTTCTCTAAAAAAGAAAGGATAAATGGGTTGGCCCACTGGTATCCTGTTATGTATGTAATGTAGACGCAAAAGGAATCTACAAGGAATAAATGTTTGAGGAAGTGACCAATATTCCTTGAAATTAGATGGCCAAGCATTTCCATTTTAGAAGGTTATTTTATTTAAATCATGGCAAATCTCCATACACAACAATGCTAATTCGTAAGCTATGAGACATCATTTCTAAGTTGAGTTTTAAAGTGCAAAATTTACTTTACAGTATTCGGAGCAACTTGAAATCAGTATTTTGTATTTTGATGATTTGTTTCAAATGAGGGTAGCCTTGAAACTTTGAGAGGTATACATGAAATATTCTCCAAGTTATACAAATAGTAAACCTTAGAGTTTACGAGAAAGGAAGGCACTTTCATTAGCAATATTCCTTTGAATTCTTATTTTACCTAAACACATGTAATATTACCCAGTTTGTATACCTGCACTGCTAAGAGTGTTAGGTACACCCAGGGAACGCATTTGAGGTGGTGATGCTATTGCATTTGACAATCAATACTGTCGCTCTACTTCTGTAATGTCTTCAAGTGCCTTTCGGTAAACAGGGACATCCATCCCCCTAACTCCCACCCCTCCTCCCATTTCTTTTGAAAACCCAAGGACTTTGCAGTTAAATGACAAACTGTTAAGTGTCTTAATCACTTTCTAAAGTATAAGCCATATTCACTGATTATATGCATAGCTACAGCCAACCAGAAATCTGTATTTAAACTTGGCTTACTTGGCTTATTTCAGATGTAGCCCAAGTTGTCAAGAAAGGTGCTTGGGTTCAAGGAGTTAGCAAAGCCTTTTGGAGTCAGGGCAGCACAGCCACTTAAGAAGAGGTGAAATCACATCCAGTTCAACCTTGCTAAGTTAGACCTTTGCTAAGCTCTAATGGCAGCAAAAGGCATGTCAGGGTGGTCTTCCCGTCACAGCTCTGGCATCATTTACAAAAATGCATTTTGTAAAGTACTGATCTGGTTTTGTTTTGGTTTTTATATCAAGCTGTGCTTTAAGAGCAAGAATATACATGCTTATGGAGGTAGCATCTCTGAAAACCTGTGTGCACTAAAATCCACGCTGGCCCAGTTGATTCCGGTCAGACCTGGCAAATGCTGTGTTTAACTAGGTCAAACCTGGACTCAACTTCTCTGGACCCACCGTTCCATTCCTAGCCGGTCATAGCTGCCACCCTGTGAAATGTTCCTTCACAGGGGGCTGGCACCACTTCAGGCCTGAAAGGCTACTCAGAAATGCATATTCTTGTTTGTTTGTTTTGTTTGGTTTTGTTTTTGGTTCACATAGTTTTACCTTTGAAATGGTCATAGATGTCTTCCCCAGCTTTTCAGTCAGAGTTAGGGATTTAAAGACTTCTGTATTGTTGCTGTCTATTCAATGACTGCATTTTGTTTACTGAATTTGGTTAATTTTAGTATTAAAACCATGGAAATGGTGAAAAGCAAGTGGGATCATTTTGGCAGTAATTTTGAGACCCTGTCCGCCTGGATAACTGAGAAAGAAAAAGAACTCAAGGCCTTGGAAAATTCGTCATCGGCTTTGGACATGAAAATCAGCCAAATTAAGGTGACCTGCTCACATGTTCCGTATATGATCCATGAATAGCTTTTAAGGATTCCTTTCTTTACTTTCATCAAATGCTGTCTGGCCCCAGGAGAAATATTTCAGTGCTATGTGACTCTATTAAATTAAATTCACACAAAAATATCGAGCTAAGAGGTTTTGATTGATACCGGGTAATACTTTATACACGGAATTCTGTATCAATATTGTCTGACTTAAGCATTTAAAGTAAAAACTGTGTGCAAGATCATTAAAACATTTTTATGGTTACATTACTCTTTTTCTTGATTTTAAAAATCCCCTCTGGAGTGCTGTGTTGATTCATTGATATGGCATGAGACATATACACCATCTCTACAGTCTTACACATGCCAAATGTCTACTTGAGTTGGTTGTATTTACCCTAATCAACCACGAGGAGGAGTTCAAGAAACCCAGTTCTTTGAAGGAAGCAATCAGACACTTGCTCTAATGTTTGAATGTATTGTGGCCTTGAATACGGACTACTGAGGTGCTCTGATACTTTAGCTGTTTCACCTTGATAATAGCTCTGTGGGCAGACTCCCACTATCCACTTCATTCAAACAGTGTGCCAACGTGTGGCCCAGAAAATGACTCTGTGTTCACCCCTCTTTCTTCCTTTCTTTCTCTTACACATGTTCTCCATTGCACATTTTCAAAATCCAGCCACTTCCTTTTCTATCACAGCTCCTTTTCTTTGGAATGGGAAAACCCTCTGTCATTTCACCAGATTAAATATAGTAAGATAAATACCAAGGTGAGGGAACATTTCACACTATGACTCAGAACAAGCCATCAGCATGTGCCTGGTGGGAGGGCGCCATATTTCAGAGCCAAGATTAAACCTAGTTCAGATTATCCTTGTTTATTTCACATCTTGCTCAATCGACGGTCTATGAAGGCTGCTGTCAGCTGTCTTCTGAAGTCTCCTGTCCCAAACCAGGAAGAAAAGATGTAGAGCTACTAAGGAATATTAGTAGCATATTTTGTAATACATGTTTTTAAAGATTGACTTATGATTCCACTAAATTCTAAGGAAAAATAAGTAACAGAGATTTACATGAGATTTCCATCTCATTGTTACTATTAAGAAGAAAAAAAAATCTATACCTTACTTTTAAATGTACATACAACTGCATTTCCATGCCAGTGAAGTAGAAATACATTTTAATATATATCTCACTTTGAAAACTATTTTAAATATATAAGATGAATAGGAATTGTAAGAAAAGATCTTTTACTATAAATAGACAAAGATATGGTAGAGCACATTGTAAAGCAGAGTCTAATAGGTTCTTATTCTATTTCTACTGAGAAGTTTGTTGTTGTTAAGTGCCATCGAGTCACAGGATAAGAAGTTTGTATTAAAGGAAATACTAAAAATAGGTTCTTATGATAACATTTTCACTATAAAACAACCATTAAATTTGAAATTAATGTTTCATCCAGTTTTGTGGAGATAAGAACTCTAATTCTGGGTTTTCATTTTTGTTAGCTGCTGGCCACAATCTCTCGAGTTCATGATTGTTATTCCAAGTTAACTATTCATTAGGCCTCATTACTAATTTCTAGAAAATATGCAGTGTTTAGCTTCCAATTTTTTTGAACCTAATTCAACGATATAATTTTCTTACATTAGCAAACACATATGTGATGACACATCTGTACACTGTGGTAAGGAGCGAAGAACTTGGCTCAACTAAGAGATTTTTTTGTGTTTGTTTTTTTTTAACTGATGAGTTGAAAACTCCTAAAACCATGATTGGCACATAATAGATAATACATATTTGTTGAATTCACAAATAGGTTTTTATTTGAAAAACTAAGGTATTCTAAAAACCGGCAATACAATGAAAGATAAAATTAATACTCAGGCAGCAAATAGTGAGCTGATGCACTACAGTGGCCATGCCTGTGAAAAAGAAAAAGAGGTAAATGACACACACTTGGCACTTAACTTGATGTGAGTCATTTCTCCCTGTCTCACCTGGGCAAGCAGTAGGTCTACCTAGGTGGTCTCCTGCAGAAGTCACACGTTCATGTTTCTCTAGGATAAGGTCACTGTCAATTTAAATGATTTCAAATTGATAACTTACACTTTTAGCTTTATTTGGATCGAACTATTTTCCAGAATAAATACTTTGTATTATTAATAAATAAGCCTTCTGTTTATGATAGCACACACATACACATATGCATCATATATATGTATTCCTTATATATTATATCCTTTCCGCCCTAAGTTGAAAATATATAGACTTTTTACTGGAGCACACGTCAGCTAATAAGTTATGTAGTAATTCCCCAAATTAAACCTTTTGACTAGCGATATGAGTTGATGGCAATTTGTTAGAAATTAAAACTCTTAGAACCATCTCAGGCTTTCTGAATCCCTGGACTTGGGGACCAAGCAATTCAGAGGCATTTTAAACTTGGAAGCCTCTGATGTAATGAATAGAGGATAGATTTGCCATCAGAAAATTGGTTTCCATAAAGTAAACTGTGCAACATTCAACTGCATTTTAGAAAAATCTAATGAAATGCATTAGCATTCCTTTATGTTGTTAGACTTCATTGCTCCTGCAGGGAAATTGGCTAACTGCTTGACTGATAGAGTAAACAGGAATTCTGTTTTTTGAGATACACTGAGAGGTCCATGGGAATGACTTTATTCTTACTTAATTGCAAACAGGAGCAGGTATTTCTCTTCATTCTCTAGCCAGGAAGCAGACCAGCATCAGCCTGTATTTTGCAGACATTGTCTACACGTCTGTCCTTTACAAAACCACATGGTGTTAGGCAGACCCACACTTTAATGGCCCAAATTATTCAAATGTCAGTTACCAAAAATATTTCTGATGTTCTTGCTCAACATATAAATATACCACTTCAGGAGGGCCCGCTTGCTCAGCCAATATTCTCGTTTTTTTCCCCCTTGATTGATTAGGTTACAATCCAGGAAATCGAGAGTCAGATCAGCAGTGTTATGGAATTGGAAGAAGCAGCACAATCTTTTGCCCAGTTTGTTACCACTGGAGAATCGGCCCGGATCAAGGCCAAGTTGACACAAGTAAGAAGATACTGGGAAGAACTCCGTGAGCATGCGCAGTGCCTGCAGGGAGCCATCCAGGGCCAGTTATCTCAGCAGCAAACCTTTGAGGAAGACCTTCGCAAGGTAGGGGAACTGGCCCACGCAGGCTCAGGTTATCTGTTCCACTTTACAGTCATGGTGAAATGCTGTCATTAGTCCAGAAGCAACAATGTTGCTGCTGGTGTTAGACGCCATTGAGCCAACTCTCAGTACTAGTCACCCTGAAAAACAGATCTGAGTCCTGCCCTTTCTTGTCCCACCCTCCGCATCTCTGCCATGCCTGTGTCTGTCTATCTCATGAAACTTCTTCCTCTCTTTCCTGACACCCTGCCTGTCCTGGCATGATCCCTGTGGAGTAAACACAAGACACATTTTACACATAATTGACCAAATAATCAATGATGACTAAACTTACAATTAATTACATGGTACCTTTTAAACAAATAAAAGAATATTGTGTTCACAGAGGCATACTTTTGAAATGACAGAAGACATTCATTTTAGATTGTTTAAAAATATTTTTATCATAAAATGAAGATAATAAAAAGGAATCATGCTGTTTCCCAATACAAGTATTTTTTTATTTGATTCATTATTTTCTCACCTCTATTTTTATCTGTCCTGTTGTTTTAGATCAAAAAGTCTGTGTCTGAATTTGAAGACAAACTTGTTGAGCCAGTTAAAATATGTTCTTCAGCTACAGAGACGTACAGACTTCTACAAGAACATATGGTAAGAGTGTGTGTCAACGTTTCTATTTATTAAGCAAACCAGAAGGTTGGTAATTACCACTTAAAAAGAAAGCATGAAGACTATTTTTATGGGAATTAAAATGAAATAGATTTCATGTTAGCTGATGGAGTCTATAGATCAAATGCTGGTGTCTTCTCAGACCAAGAGGATGAACGACAGAATGGAGGCCTGGACAGGATGGAGGCCTGGCTGAACCTGTCTGTGCTCACGGCCATTGTAACCACTGCGTCATCTGTCTTTGAGGGTCTTTCCTCAAGAAGTAGGAATTCACTCATATATTTTTTTTTTAATGAGGAAAAGTTAGAAATGCAATTTAATTCATTCCTATTCGTGGTGCCACCCAGCTACATTCCAGAAGGTTTTCAATGCTATGCCTTTCAGAAGGAATCTTCAGGCCATTCTTCTGAGAGATCTAACTGTTGACTTGAAACACCCACCTTCTGGCTAGTAGTTAAGTACTTAACTGTCTGTACCATCTAGGTGCTCCAATTCAGTACTAGAAAGTATAATAATATCTAAAAATACTTTGTTGTTGTTGAGTACCGTCAAGTCAGAACTGAGCCATGGCTGACCACCCAGCGGGTTTTCAGAAGAGGTTAATTGCACAGGAGGAGATTGCCCATCCTTCACCCCTTGGAACAGCAGGTGGATTTGAACCCCGTGCAGCTTCCTGCCACTAGGCCATGAGAGCTCCCTACATATTAAATATATTAGAAATATTACTAAATATATCTCTAAACATTAAAAACATTTATGCTTAGAAATAACTATGCTTTGATAGTCTAATCTGTAAAATGAGTACAATGAAACAAACACCTTTTAAGTTCCTTTCTTTAAAAAATTATTTTATATTGGTCTGCATACAAATTTTTTATTTATTGTGTTTCATTCAGTCACATTGTGTTTCACACATTTCTTCATTCACCTTGTGTTTCATATGATCATTCCCATCCATTGTGTAAAAGTCATCCCCTTTGATCTGTGCTTGCCAGTACCCTGTCTTCTCAGGTTCCCACTGAATCTTTCTTCTGCTCAACAAACTTGGCAACCCCATGATTTCTCCCTGCCCACCCTCAATCCTCCAGCTCCCTCCCCTGCTTCATTAGACTTTCATACACATTTTACTAGTTATCCTTCTATTTTTACAATATGGTCTTACGCAGTGTTAGTCCTTACGAGACTCAGCGTAATACTCCCAGGTCTTTCCCAAGGCATGTAGTATTTTTTGAAATCATTGCTCCTGAGTGCTGCTTAGGCTTCCATCGTGTGACTGCCCACAATTCCTCAATCCATTTGTTTGTTAATGGGCATTTGGACTATTTCCATGTGCTTTTGATTGTGAATACCACTGCTATGAACGTTAATATACAAATCTCTGCCTCAGTTCTAATTTTCTTGGGGAATATTCCTAAAAGTGGAATATCTAGGTCAAATGGAATTTTTGTGTTTTTGTCTTTGTTTGTTTGTTTGTTAGGACATGTCAAAATGCCTTCGAGAGTGATTGTACCATTTTACAGTCCCACCAAAGGTACAAGAGAGTTCTAATCTCTCCACATCCCCTCTAACATTTATTGCTTGTTTTCCTGTTAAACTTTGCCACTGCTGCTGGGGAGAGATGGTATCTCATTGCGGTTTTGATTTGTATCTTTCTCTGACTGCCAGTAATTGTGAACATTTCTTCATGTGTCTGTTGGTCATCTATCTGAATGTCTTCTTCTGTAAAAAATCTTTCCGTCTCTTTTGCCTGTTCTGTAGTTGTTATCAGTCTTTTTCTTGTGGAGACCCTGTAGGATGCTATGCACTTTCATTATGAGACCATTGTCTGAAATGGCATTGCCGTTCCCCACCCCACCCCTCAAGTCAGTAGGTTTTCTTTTCACCAAATTAGAAAAAGGGTTTGATACACACAGGGACTTAATCTTTAGAAGGTCTCATTTGCTGATGTTATCCTCTCCTGGTTGTGTATTTCTGGCTGCATTTGTCAGCCTCTTTATACCATAGGCTAAGCCTCTAAATTTGGTCCCATTTTATCTCTTATGATCTTTATGTTTTGGGGCTTTACCCCTAGTCCCTGATCCACCTTGAGTTGATTTTTATGTAGGGTGAGAGGTGTGCATCCTGCTTCAGCTTTATATATTTAGATTAGGAGTTCTGGTGGGCTAGTGATTAAGAATTAAACTTCCAAACCAAAGGTTCAGGGTTTGAATCTGCTTGTTGATCTGGGGCATGAAGATGAGCAGTCTTCTTCCATGTGATTTACTGCCCCTGAAAATGCACTGGACGAGCATCAGCTGTAAATCATTTCTAACTCAACAGCCTATGATAACAATATGCGTGTGTCCATAAATATGTATCTGGTGGCTTATTGAGTAAGGAGTTGTGCTGGCAACACAAAGACATACAGTTCAAATCCATCAGTTGCTGCGCAGAAGAAAGACAGACAGTTTCCTCTTGTGTGATTTACAGCACCAGAAACCTGCTGGAAGGTCAGCGATCAGTTCCAACTCGGCAGCACATAAAGCCAAACATATATAATGTAGATAACATACAGCGCTGGGAAAATATTTGTTCTCAAGACTCCAACTCTTTTCTGTAGAGTCAGAACCCACTCATGGCCGATCCTCCAGTGGGTTTGGGAAGGCTGTAACCCACCTGAGAGGGAGCGGTGCTAGGGGAGACCACTCATGAATTGCATCACTTTTGGGTCAACAGCACGGCCCCCTAAGAAGTATACCACTGTGGGAAAGTACATCATGCTGAGAAAAGTGGAGGGTCAGAGAAGGAGAGGAAGACCCTCAATGAGGTGAATTGACAGTGACCACAACAGTGTGCTTGAGCATGGCAGGAATAGTGAGGCTGGTGCCTGAGAGATCAGGATTCTTCTGATCTGTTGTTCATTGGGTCTCTATGAGCCATGGTAAACTTGACGGCATCTAACATCAACGATATGTCTATCTGTGTTTCATTGACTGTGGATCACAACACATTGTGGCTAACCTTGAGGAGAATGGGAATCCACTTGTGCTTATGTGAAACCTATACTCGAACCAGGAAGCAGTCCTCAGAACAGAGCAGGGAAACACTGCATGGTTCAAAATCAGGAAAGGAGTGTGTCAGGGACGCATCCTGTTTCCATACCTTTTCAGTCTATATGCAGAACAGATCATTCGGGAAGCAGGGCTTTATGAGGAAGAATGTGGCATCATGATTGGAGGCAGACTCATCAATAGCCTATGTTATGCAGATGATACAACCTTGCTTACTAAAACTGAAGAAGACCTGAAGCATTTGCTTCAGAAAGTCAAGGACTGTAGTCTTTAATATGGATTGAAACTTAACATCAAGATGTCAAAGATTCTCACCACTGGGCCAATTGGCAGCACCATGATAGATGGAGAAGAGATTGATTGAAGGTGTTAACAATTAAAACTTGATCAGCTCCATAATCAACACTTTTAACACCAGCAGTCAGGAAATCAACAGCTGAGTAGCACTGGGAAAATATACTGTCAAAGACCTCCCAAAGTGCTAAAAAGCAATGATGTCAGTCTAGAGACTGTTGTTGTTCTTGTTAAGTGCCGTCAAGTCTTAAAAAAATCATAGTGACCCTATGAACAAAAGACCTGAACACTTGTATAACTTCCATCATTTCTCCAAGCTCATAGGTTTTCCAGAGGCAAGCTATTTCAGAAGTGGATGCCACTCCTGCTTCCAAGCTTGTTTTAATCAGGGAGCTCCACAAAACACTGTCCACCATGGGTAATCATTATTGATTTGATACATCACTGGCACAGTGTTTAGCATCACAGCAACCACGAGTTACCTCTTGTACAGCAAATGGACAGACTAGTGCTATACCACTTAGAACAACATTTGGAAAAGAGTCTTGAATATACCATAGACTGCCAAGAGAACAATTTGGTCTGTCTTGGAGAAGGTGAAACCAAATTTCTCCTTGGAGGCTAGAAGTTTGAAGCTCTATCTCACATACTTGGGGCTTGTGGTTGGAGAGACTTGTCTTGGAGAACATTGTGCTCGAAAGGGTAGACAGACAGCACAGGCGAAGACTCCAGATGAGATGGATTGATACAGTGGCAGGGGCTATAGGGGTTGATATGTCAGAATTAGTGAGACTGGCTTAGGACAAGGAAAGGTTCAGAGCTGCTGTACATAGAGTCACTATGCATCGCAGGCGACTTGACAGCACGTAACAACAACAACAATGCACTTAACACAATAACTGCTACATATTGAGCACATTATAATTGCCACGGCTCTTCACAATAGCTATTTCAGCTGTAAATCCATAATTTTAATAGAAATGATATCATGCTCCATGTACTTTTTTATAAACGAGGTTTCCTAAAGTGTTAATATATGTATTATATATTAATATAATTAAAATATTATATATATGATGACACCTAACAACAATAACAATGATGACACAGAGAGAGCTACGTTGCCCTAGTGAACCAAGCCCAAGGTGGGTGATTTTAATCTGTGGCCCTCAGGCCTGGTTTAAATGATTTTTTTGTCAAGCATTCTTCTAGGTGGTATAGCACTAGTCTGTCCATTTGCTGTACAGAGGTAACTCATGGTTGCTGTGATGCTGAACACTGTGACACTGATGTGCCAAATGTGGTAATGGGCACCCATGGTGGACAGTGTTTGGTGGAGCTTCCCAATTAAAACAAGTCTGGAAGCAGGAATGACATCCTTTTCTGAAATGGCTTGCCTCTGGAAACTCTATTAACAGTGCTCAGGGCTTTTGTTCATAGGGTCACTAGGAGTCATCTATGACTCGATGGCACTAAACAACAACAACAACAACTACATATATACATATGTATATTAATTAAGATGGTAGGATCTGTAGCATAGATTTCATTTCCGTTTTTATTTATTACCTGAATGAGAAAAAGTTGAAATAATTTAGGTATACATTCTTATTTGGTAGATTGTCTTTGTATCTCTTTTTCATAAAGTAACCTCGCTTTCACTGAGTCTTACTGACATTCAGGGTCAGAGACCCTTAGTACCACTGGTTATTAAGGCTTTCGTGGTTGTACATGTCATCAAGTTGACTGCAACTCATAATGACCCTATGCACAATAACTCTGAAACCTGCTTTATCCTGAGCTAGTCTCACTAATACCAACACACCAACCCCCATTGCCCTAGTTACTATATAAATCCATCTCATCTGGGGTCTTCCTCTCCTGCACTGTCCCTCCATCTTTCTGAGCATGATGTCTTTCTCCAAGGACCAGTGTCTCCTGGCCACTTGCCCAAAGTATGTGAGACAGAGCTTCAAAATCATTATCTCCAAGGAACAGCTTGGTTTTACCCTCTCCTCGACCGTAAGGCTGAGGAAATGTTTTTGAGATGATGCCTTTCACAGAAGCAACATATCTCTCTCTCTCTCTCTCTCTCTCTCTCTCCCTCTCTCCCTCCCTCCCTCCCTCCCTCCCCACCCTGGCTTATCCCATATTCTCTTTGTTTCTCCTCTAGGACCTTTGTCAGGCTGTGGAGTCACTGAACAGCACCGTGGCTGCCTTCTCAGCCAGTGCCCGCAAGGTGGCCAGTGACCCCTGTGCTCAGGAGGCAACATCTGTGCAGGAGCAGTACCAGGCGCTGCTGAGCAGGGCCAAGGAGAGACAGAGCATGCTGGAGAGCCGTCTGTCCCACTGGCAGAGGTGAGCAGCCTGCCCCCTGCTAGTTTGGCTTTCAGAGTCATTGTCAAGGATAGGTACTGAGGAGTCAGCCTGAATGAAGCCCTGCCCTGTGCTCCACCATCCCCATGTATGCTTGTAGATCCGACTGTGTTATCCTTAGGTTTCCAATGGCTGACACTGTAAAGTAGATCTCCAAGCCCTTCTTCCTAATCTTAATTCATCACCATAGCATCACATAAGTCACTGCTAGTTCATCACCATAGCAACACACGAGCATCCACTGACAGAGGTGGTTGTGTGTATGTGGCACATTGACTGAGAATCAAACCTGAGTCTTCAGTGTGAGAGGGAAGAATTCTACCATTGAGCCACCAGAGGCTACATGGGCTAATTCAGCAGTTAGTGGTCAATGGAAATGCTGGGTGTTCTATTCTTTAGTGGAATAGAATGGTCCCAAGTCCAACACATATGACTAATAAGAGATTGTGTTGGTCTTCAGGTGAGGCAAAGATCTCTAATGGGGAGCAAATATGTTTAAATACTTACATACTGTACAGATACAAATATGTGAGAAAGTACATGTGAGAATGAGAGGGGTGGTTGGTTGTTTTCTTTCTATGAAGAGGATAACAAGTGTTTGGCTTTCATTCTGATCATTCTTGAATTTGTTTCCTATCTCTCTTTGCCTTAGGCTAGAGAAAGAACTGTTGACCTTTCTGACCTGGTTAGAAAGGTGTGAAGCCATAGCCGGTTCTCCTGAAGTGGGCATCTCTGCAGACAGAGTCAAAGTGGAGGGTGAGCTTCAGTTAATACAGGCAAGTTCACAGCTGGGTGTGGAAAGACGATTACATGCTCTTTGCTGTGGTTGCGTTACACACAAGCAAGCGGGGGTCTGTCCAATTTATTCTCACCCTGATTTGATGAACCATGCAGATCATTCTGAAAAGAAGAATCTGTTATTCTCACCGGAAAGACAAAGTAGAGGTGTCCTTTGGGATCCTCTCTTCCTGAAATGTGACAGGAAATCAAAAGTTCGGTGTCAGGCAATTGAATACCCTCCCTCCCGCCTTGCAGGGGAGTCGGATAAGGACTGGGCAACTACACTAATGAAGCAATGCCAAGCTCAGAGTTCTTTTAAGCTGGATCATGTATTCTATCTTCATAGGGAAGTGATTTTTATAATAAGAATGCAAGAGAGAGAGAGACAGACAGACAGACAGACAGACAGACACGCCAGTGTAGGAAGAAGTCACAAGATGGATTGTTTTCAAGCAAGATAGTAAAATGAATGAGAAGAAATGTAGACAACAGATTGAAAACCAAAGAATTCTAATCTATCACAGCTGAGAAGAAACCAATTCTTTAAACAAAAGGTAATACTTTGGATTTCCAGAGAATTACTTTGAAGTATGGTATCTGTGATTGAAAATTCCGAACACAACACTGCTGGCGAGAATTTGTGTTGTACAGATACATACCTTAACTTTCTTCATCACCTTCTATAGAAAATTTAAGACAAAGTGAGATTCTTTTACTTTTTGTGATTGCTTCTTTGAAAAGTCCCCTGCTTCTAAACATGATATGTTAATGTTTTAGTGAATTTTATTCCCAATATGATTTTTTGTTTGTTAACATGCTAATTTGTTAACAAAATTTGAGTACATTGCTCGGTCTACTTCTTGTTCTCAAAATACAAAAGCCTTTAAGAGGGAAAGACCCAGTCTTTTCCTTAAAAATCACATGGTATAGACATTAAGACATCCGGCAGAATAAAGCTACACTCCACAGTGGAACGTGAGTTCCTAAAAGCAGTACACGATAAAGCTTCATCTCACATACTTTTTGTTGCTAAGAGAGGTTATTCCTTGGAAAGGGACATCATGGTTGGGAAGGTGGAGGAATGGTGAAGGAGAGGAAGACCCTTGGCCAGGTGGGTTGGCAATGTGACAAACAGACTTGACTGTGTCAGAGATTGTGAGGATAGCACAGATTAGGACAGGTTCAGATCTGTTGTTGGTAGGTCATAATCAACTCAAAGGCACCTAACAACAACAACAGCAATGACAATGTTCCAATGTCATCTGGACATCATTGCACTCATGCATGCGTTCCCCTCTCCTGGTCTGGCCCCGTGTGTTCACGAGCTCCTTTTTCTGCTTGTTTTTATTGTTGTTGTTGTGTACCATAGAGTTGGAATGAACCCATAACTGACTCTCCAGTGGGTTTTCACAGGCATGGGAAGAGATTGCCCATACTTCTTCCATGGAACAACTGGTAGATTTGAACCTTGTGCCTTTGGTTTGACGACACAGTTCCTTACCATTAAGGCCACCAGAACTCTTGAAAACTTTTCTGTTCAGCTCACATGATCTCTCATCTTTCAGGTGGTGGAACTGACTTAATGTATCCTGATACACATTTTTTTACATCCCATATGACTTCATCAAATAAAGAAAGAAAAAAATTTATAGGAATCTACTACTATGTGCTGAGATGAAACCAATCATCCATTCAATAGCATGACTATCAACATGCGTGCTTAGATATCAGTGAGCAGGAACTACAAGTCTTCTTTTTTCCTTTTTTAAAGATAAGTTTTTACCACAATAAGATAAAGGTAAACAACCCAATTGAAAAATGGGCACAGGATATGAACAGACACTTCACCAAAGAAGACATTCAGATGGTGAACAATCACATGAAGAAATGTTCAAATTCCCTAGCTCTAAGAGAGATGCAAATCAAAACAACTATGAGATATCATCTCACCCCAGTAAGAATAGCAAACTTCAACAGAACAGCAAGCAACAAATGCTGGCGAGGTTGTGGGGAAACCGGAACCCTTACTCACTGTTGGTGGGAGTGTAAAATGGTGCAACCACTGTGGAAGGCTGTATGGTGCTTTCTCAAAAAGTTCAAATAGATATACCATTTGACCCAGCAATTCCACTACTTGGAATATACCCCAAAGAAACCATAACTGCCACGCAAGCATACCCATGTTTATCATGGCTTTGTTCACCATAGCAATGAGCTGGAAACAGCCTAAGTGCTCATCAACAAATGAATGGATAAAGAAGCTGTGGTATATTCACATAATGGAATACTACTACGCTGCATTGAAAAACAAAAAACTCATGAAATATTATACAAAATGAGTGACCTGGAGGACATTATGCTGAGTGAAATATCTCAGTCACAAAAGGTCAAAAGCTTCATAATGCCACAGTTGTAAAATGGGACTGACATCAGGGTTGGGGGGAGACTGAGAAAGATGGGATAAATTATGTATACTGCATTGAAACAGATGAAGGAAAGAACTGTTTAAAAGGGATATGATTAGGTATTGTCATGACAGGAATCCAGAACAAAGTCTGCATAGTGGAGTGGACTTGGGGGGAGGTATTATATGACAATGAAAGAATTTTTCTTTTATTTTCAAAATGAAGGCTGCATAGTGGAGTGGATCTGGGATTGTATAACAATGAAAGAATTTTACTTTTCAAGGAGAAGAGCGAACTGGGGGGAAAGGATGGGCAGCGAGAAAAGTGCACCAGTGAATGAATGGAAATTCAAAGGCTTTGTAAACTTTCATTAAAATTAATAAGCTTTTAAAAAATTTAAAAAATTAATTGTGATTTTAATGAAAGTTTGGATTTTCATTCATTCGGGAACTACATCTCTTATGTGTCCCTCACGGTGCTTAAATCACCTACTGTCTGAGTAAATAAAAGGAGTGACTCTGCCATGTAGAATAAAAACTGAGAACATCTATGTCCCCAATTCTGTCCTTAATATGGTCTTTAAATAGACAAGGAAGACCTGTTTTCATCTAGAATTGTATCTTTGTGATTATTAGATATACAGATTATTTTTAGAAGTGGAAGAGGCAACTAATAGACATTTCATCACTTCTAAAGCTACTTGATTTATTGTATCTCAGATTTTGAGGAAGTAATGCAGATTGCGTTCCATATTTTTACATGTTGTGAGGAGAGACCGGTCCTTGGAGAAGGACATCATGCTTGGGAGGGTGGAGGGGCAGCGCAGGAGAGGAAGATCCTCTATGAGGTGGATTGATTCAGTGACTGGGATAATCGGGATGGGAGAGTCAGAGACAGTGCGATTGGCACAGGACAGAGCAGAGTTTAGGGCTGTAGTACATAGGGTCGCTATGAGTCGCAAGCAACTCGACGGCACATAACAACAACAATGCAGATTGCAGTCCAATTTTTATTAGAGGTGTATCAATTAGGATTCCACCAGAGAAACAGAACCAGTGGGAAGCTCAGTTAAGAGATGAACTTATTGCAAGAAATTGGGCCGACATTGCCATGGGAGCTGAGGAGGCAAGTCTGAAGCCCATGTGACAGGGCATCTGAAAAAGCAAACTGGCTGCTCAGTGGAGTGCTGTCCTCTGCCCCAGAGAAGCCTCAGCTCTGCTCTCAAGGCCTCTCTGCTGATTGGCTCAGACCCCCTTGCATGATTTAATATGTTAGTCTTCTTTTTTTTTAAGTCAACTGATTAACTTTAATCACACCTACAAAAATACTTGCAGGACCACACCTAGATTAGGGCTTGGTTGAGTAATTGGTGACTCTGGTGGCCTAGGGATAAGGAATTGGGCTCCCATGTGTAACCAAGGTACACGGTTCAATCCATGGAAGAAAGAAAATCTCCTTTCGTGCAATTTACTGCCTCTGAAAACCCACTGGAGAGATCGCTGTGGGTCAGTTCTGACTTGATAGTAAGACCAACAACATGGTCTAGCCAGGTTGACACATAAAGTTACTCATTACAAAGCGTATGAGGAATATTTCCAAAAATCAAATTCAGGCCAGCCTGCCAACAGCCAAACCCACCTGTCCTTTAGCTGGGACCCAGTGACCTCCATTCTGCAGAAGTGTGAAGTTTTAGGTGACTGTCTGAGCCATGTGGCTTTCCTTGTTCCTGCCCGGGTCTGAAAATGCATGCTTGCGTCCTCAGGGCCTGCAGCAGGAGGTTGTGTCCCAGGCCTCATGCTATAGTAACCTCCTGCAGTTGAAGGAATCGCTGTTCTCAGTGGCCTCCCAAGAGGATGTGAAGATGTTGAAACTACACCTGGAGGAGTTGGATGAACGATGGAGAGTTTTGCCACAGATCATCAGTAAGAGGTTGGATTTCTGCTTTTCTTTAAACTTTAATTCCTTTGTTTTCAAACAGTGGGCATATACATTAAGAAAATGATGTATATATTTTTAGTTAACTCAGATACTCAGGGAATAATAATCAAATGGAAAAGATACTGTATCATTTTTAACATCAGAGTGCCCCAAAATATTATTTCTGGTCAACCTCAACTCAAAATTCAATCTTAAAATGAGCAAAAATTATCAGGCTAGTTGATATACGTTAAAGAGAGTGGGATTGCTAATATATGTGCTAATATATACGGTCATAACTATTTCTCTACAGGGGGAAATGATGACTAAAATTCCCCTTCCATATTTCAGAACCAGAGTATCATGTGTGTGTACATACGCAATTATTCCTCACTAATAAACTACCACATTCTCCCCTATTTTGTGATGTGGTGTGGTCATCCTCCATTTTCACATAAAGTTGCTTTTCTCCTAATGACCTTGTTTTAGAACTGAACCATATCCGTAAATGAGGAATGTGTGTATGTGTGTAATTGTGTTGTAAAGTTGATGCCAATTCACAGTTCCCTATGGGACAGATTTGAACAATCCTGTAGGGTTCCTAAGGTGGTGAACCTTTATGAAGTGGCTGCTACAGCTTCTTCTGAAGGCAAGATGTGAAACTACACCTATCTTTGGTTAGTATTTAAGTGCTTTAACCACTGTGACATATAACTCTTCTTATATACACTCTTGCTCACACCCACATACACAAAAGTCTGGAACAGCTAAAATTTTGACTAAGTAGTTATGGTGTCTCTTTGGAGACTAAGGTGTGCCTGATACAGGCCATGGTCTTGGCTATCACTTGTTATGCATCAGAGAGTTGGACAATGACTAGGGAGGCTAGAAGGAGAATTGATGCCTTTGAGCTGTGGTGCTGGAGAAGAGTATTGAAGGTACCATGGACTGCTAGGAAAACAAACAGATTCATCCTGGAAAGGGTCAAACCGGGCTGCTCCTTGGAGGCAAGGATTCTGAGGCTCCGTCTAACATACTTTGGACATGTTGCAAGGAGAGACAGGTCCTTGGATTGGAGAGGGGCATCATGCTTGGTAGGGTGGAGGGACAGTGCAGAAGGGGAAGGCCCCCTATGAGGTGGATTGATTCAGTGACTGGGATAATCGGGATGGGTGTATCGGAGACGGTGCGATTGGCACAGGACAGAACAGAGTTTAGGGCTATTGTACATAGGGTCACTATGAGTCACCTACTACTCGACGGCACTTAACAACATAGAAAGAGACCAGTTGGCCTAGTGGACCTGAAGTGATGCTACCAAGCCAAAGGTGTGTGACTCTAATCCACTGCCCTAAGGCCTGTCTTTAATTGGTTTTGGTGAAACATTCTTCTAGGTCGTATAGCCCTGGTGTGTCCACTTGCCATACCGAGGTAATTTGTGGCCGCTGTGAAGCTGAACACTGTGACACTGATGTGTCAAATGTGATACCAATTACTCATGGTGGACAGTGTTTAGTGGTGCTCTCCGGTTGAAACAAGCTTGGAAAGAGGAGTGGCATCCACTTCTGTAATAGCTTGCCTCTGGAAACCCTATGAACCTGGAGAAAGGATGAAAGTCACACAAGTGTCAAGGACTTTCATTCATAGGGTCGCTATGAGTCGTCTACGACTCAACGGCACTTAACAACAACAACAGTTATTAATATGTTGTTGACATCATCTAGTAATGTTATAATTACATTTATTTATGTATAATATAATGATAAATTACAAATTCAAATTTATTAAATCCTCATTAAATAGATAGGTTAGCAATGAGCTCTGAGACTTTTCCAATATGCTAGAAGACAATCTTCCTCCTGAAATTAGTTGATTACAATGTAATAATGAGCAAGGCTGTTAACCAGTCATTCATCTATTCATTTATCTTGTATTTATTATACGTCCACATTGAATGGGACACTCTTCTATGTGCTGGGGCTGAAACAAGAAACAGTTCTGCTCTCTATGTTCATAGAACTTGTATTTGTGCCATTGGTTATTCTTTCATTTTTCCAGTGAACAAATGGTTACAGGATACTTGCTGAGGGTCAGCCATTGTGTTAGCACTGGTAAGGTGTGTCTGATCCAGGCCATAGTCTTTGTGATTACATGCTATTCATCAAAAAGCTGGACAATGACTAGGGATGATAGGAGGGGATCTGATGCCTTTGAGCTGTGGTGCTGGAGAAGAGTATTGAACATACCATATACTGCTAGGAGAACAAACAGGTTTGTCCTAGAGAGGGTGAAACCAGGCTGCTCCTTGGAAGAAAGGATTCTGAAGCTTCATCTGATATGGTTTGGACATGTTGCAAGGAGGGACCAGTCCTTGGAGAGGAACATCATGCCTAGGAGAGTAGAGGGACAGCACAAGCGAGGAAGACCCTCTATGAGGTGGATTGATTCAGTGACTCGGGTAATCAGAGTGGATGTGTCAGAGACAGTGAGATTGGCACAGGATAGAGCAGAGTTTAGGGCTGTTGTACATAGGGTTGCTATGAGTTGCAGGTAACTTGATGGCACATAACAATAACTACTTTCTGACCTTAAATACCTCACAGAGCATTATGGGAGAGAACAAGGAAATGGATAAGCAAGGTAAACAAATAGTTTCATGCGAACCAAAGGAAAGGATATTTGGATTAATTCTGTAAAGACTTGAAAAATTTTATGGCAATTTCTTGACAGAGAAGTGACTTTTTGTGACGTGGGGTAGAATCTCACAAAGAGAAAATAAAGGACTCTGAAAATGAGAAAAATGGGTGAAAGTATCCAAAATATTCAACCATCAACCTCTGAACAGGAGAACAATGCAGCAATTTCTGTCGAGATTACAAGATTCAAACCCTATGGAACATTTCCGTTTCGTTCTACAGACTCAGTGAGTCAAAATCTATCAACTCCATGACAGTGTGACAAAGGATCATACCAAGGAGATGAAATCTCAGCTCTTAGGTAGCTAAGAGGAGTATGGGAGGCCACCTGTGTAACTCAACAAACAAATGAACAAGACTGTCCATGGTAATTCTCTATCTCAGATAGACAACAAAATAGCACAATATGGCAAAAACTGCAGGGAGGTGCAGTTTGGTACTGGAAGATCAAGTAAGATTCTTTTGGGAGATGCCACCTAGGACATAGATACACAATGCATTGGGGCAGAGTACCCAGGGAGAGGAACACTTTTTGTCATAGATATTGAGGGGACTAGGAGAAGGATAAGGTGACTGTGGGATGGAGGTGTGTCACCAAGATTAAGAGGTCCTCAAAAGTCAATGAATCATTCCAATGCTTCGTCACCAGAAAAGGTGTCATGTGAGGTCCTGGGCAATCACCAGGAAGTGAATTGAATGGGCTTCAACACGAAACTGCTGGAATGTTTCAGAATGGCAGAGAAAGGATCTGGTGACATTAGGGATCCTTGTGTTGCCTAGACAGTGATTTGGAAGCAGGAGTGGCATCCAATTCCTACACCACCTGCCTCTGGAAACTCTATGATCTTTGAGAAATGACGATATTTATAGAAAGGCTTCAGGGCTTTTGTTCATAGGGTCGCTTTGAGTCATGCTCGACTCTATGGTAATCAGCAAGAAGACAGTGGAAGGTAGGGAGGCAGAAGTAGAAGAAAGGAGGTCCATTTAAAAGACTTTTGGAGGATGTACAAGAGATGAGAGACTGAGACCATAGACAGAGAGCAAACTGGAGAGGACAGGATATGGACTGTGGTCTGCAGCATGCCTCAGCACCCCTGCATCAAGGGGAGGCCTGACACACTAGGTTCCTAAAACAATCTCAGTGAAAGGTGGTAATGCTTACTGAGGCAGGGGGTCTAAGAGAAACAGATTGGGGGAGAAAAGAAAACACTGAGTTTTTGCTTTGTTCACATTTGGTAACTTGATTTTGTCCTTGGCTAAATGTATTCTAAAAACTATCATTAACCCTTTCTGTCCATTCACAAGATGTTTTAACTCCTAACCCCTCTCTCTACAGGATTAATTTCCTTCAGTCTGTGGTTGCAGAACACCAGCAGTTTGATGAATTGCTGCTTTCCTTTTCCATGTGGATTAAGCTGTTTCTCAGTGAGTTGCAGACCACCTCGGAGATAAGCATACCAGACCACCAGGCAGCTCTCATTCGGCATAAGGTAAAGTGTAACCCCCAAAATTTTTTTAGTTGGTCCGCATATAATAATTAGTTTACATTGTGTTTCATTCATATACATTGTGTTTCTGAAAGCTTTCATTTACTTTGTATTTCATACATTCTAGACATTGTATTTGATATAATTCATTACTATTACCCTGCTTTTCGAGTATTTCCTATTCCTTCGTCCCTCACGTGCCCACTAACCTCTACTATCCTAATGATTTCTACCCCTCCCCCTTTTCCTCCTCCCTCCTTTTTCCCCCTTCGTCTTTTGAACATTTATGTGCACTTTTTCACACCTGAAGAATTTAAGCATGCCGGGGGACAGGACAACTATTCAGAGATTCAATATTAAAAACAACAACAAAACTTGGCAACTATTTCACTTTTTTATCCTCATGCCAACTAAATAGATAAAGCTACATTGGATATTAGAGACACTACCAGATAAAACCACATCAGAATAAATAAGACACAGCCTAGGGCAGTGTTTCTTCACAGGGGGCGGCAAATATTTTCCAGTTAAAATGATAAGAACAGTCCTTTTTCCCAGTTTGCTTTATTTCAACACTGAAAACCAGGCTTAAATTCCAATCTTTCAATTCTATATTATTACTGAATCATTATGGAGCTTAACATTAATTTACAATTGAGAATCTTCCATATTTTAAAATTAGCCATACTATCTAATGTGACATTTTAAAGATAAAAAATGAGATATTGACTATCAAGTGGAACGAGAGGTAAGTATTCTTTTATCTTAGAAATGTATGTGGTAATGAATATTCATATTCATTAAGTGCTGATTCAATGCTTGCTTTTTAATGAAGTATTGTTGTTGCTGCTGTCCTGTACCATTGAGTCAGAACTGACCCATACCTGACTCTCTCTTGGGTTTTCAGAGACAAGAAATGCGTGCAAAGAGATGCCATCCTTCTCCCGTGGAACAGCTGTGGGGTTGAACTGTGTGCCTTTCAGGCTGCAGTACAGTTTCGTAACACTAGGTTACCAGAGAGCCCTAAATAAATGTTAGACATAAATTATCTTTTTCTGTCTTACCAACTTCCTTAAGAAAAAAGGAGAGACTTTTCTAAAAAATTATTTTTATTTCTTACTAGTTTTTATTTTTGTTTTTTGGATTTTTTTAAATACTAGTTTATTTACAAAATTTAAATACATTTTTTTTCACACCAGATCCTTCCCATTTCCCTCACCCACTTACCAAATTGTAAGACCCCATGATTGATCCTCCCTACCCCCCAAAGCACATCCTCACCCATCTGCTTCCACCCTCCCCCATCCCTCCACCTTGGGTCCTCATACTCCTTCTACAATAAGGGTTTTATGCAGTATTTGTCCTTGTGAGACTGAGTTAGTTCATTTGGCATAATGCTCTACAGTCCCTTGCAAGTTAGGTAATAATTTTATACTGGTTTACATACAGAGTTCATAAAGTTCATAGGCATTGTTTTTCACACCGGATCTTTCCCCTTTCCCAGTAACCCCTCTTATTATTCCTTGTTGATAAGCAAGGTAACAGAAGCCTTAGAGGTTGGTTGACTATCCAATGAATTGCCAAAACCCCACACGAATCTGTGTTTGAGGAAGTGCAGCTTAGTTGCTCCCTAGATTCAAGGATGAGGAAACTTGGTCTTTCATATTTTGGCATATTGTCAAAAGAAGTCCGTCCTTGGAAGAAGGCATCATGCTAGAAAAGGTGGTTGGTCAGAGAAAGAGAGGAAGACCTTTGATAAGGTGGACTGACATACTGACTGTAACAAGCATGACAGAGCTGGTAAGCATGATGCAACATAGGGCAAATGTCCAATCTATTGTTCCTAGGGCCGTTAGGAGTCAGTAGATCCAAAAGCAATTCACAATAACAAGTCACATAGCTTCGACATTGTAGTGTGCATGCAAGGACTGGAAGGGGAATGGTATTACTAGACACTTGGCCAAGCCTGAAATATTTTATAATGATCAAGTGTGATAGAGACACCAAGCAAACACATACTGTTGGAGAAGTGTTGCTGGTAGACTTGCTCAAAGCAGAGTTGCCACAATTCTTCAACTTGTGAAGAATACAGTCTCTAAGAAACTGCAATCCAGTGACGTGCAACAAAACTAGAAGGATTTGTAAGCATTTTTTTCCCAAACTCCCAGATTTTCAATTTCTTTCCAACTTTTTTTTTTTATGCAACATGTTTTTTTTTTCTTGTTGCTCTTTTTTTAAAAAATTAATTTTAATGAAAGTTTACAGACTTTGGATTTCCATTCATTCATTGTTGCATTTTTTTCCCCTGCCCAACCTCCCACCTAGTTCACTCTTCTCTCTGAAAAGTAAAATAAAAATTTTTTCATTGTTATACAATCCCTATCCCCAAGTCCACTCCGCTATGTAGCCTTTACGAATAGAAAGAGAAGCTGTGGTATATTCACACAATGGAATGCTACACTGCATTGATAAACAAGGAACTCATGAAATATTACACAAAATGAGTGAGCCTGGAGGACATTATGCTGAGTGAAGAATCTCAGTCACAAAAGGACAAATACTGCATAGTACCACTGTTGTAAAATGAGACTGACATCGGGGTTGGCGGGAGACTCAGAAAGATGGGATAGATTATGTATACTGCATTGAAACACATGAGGGAGAGAACTGCTTAGAAGGGATATATGATTAGGTATTAAGGAGTCCAGAACGAATGCTCCATTAGCAACTTTTATCCAAGAGGTAATTCTTTTCCATGGAGTGAATTAATCCCAGTCAGAGTTGTGTGTTACCAGAGAACTACAGAGATAATAAAGAGCCTTAGTGGCTTAGTCCATAGAGAACTGCACACCTGGAGGCCGTTCCTCTCCAGTGGTTCGAATCCACCAGTTGTTCTTCGAGGGAAAGATGAGCAATCTTCTCCCTTTTTATTTACAGCCTCAGACACCTGCAGTTGGTTCTGACTCCATAGCAATGACTCTGAGGTGTTGTTTGGTTGCTTTTTATGTAGACATGCAAAACAGGAGATTTTACAAACGTGTCTAAATCCCTCACAAGAGATGACTTTAAATAGCATGCTTCCCACTGCATTTACGATCAGCTGTGATATCCCAAGTCCTGTGATGGGTCTGGGGCATAAATCGTAACACCACTTTAAGTCATCTGCTTTCTCTCCTGACCAGGACCACGTGGCAGAAGTGGAGAGCAAAAAGGGAGCGGTGAAGAGTCTGCAGGGCCACCTGGCGAAGCTGGCTGCCCTGGGCCGGGCTGAGGACCTGCACCTGCTCCAGGCCAAGGCTGAGGACTGTTTACAGCTCTTTGAGGAGGCCAGCCAGGTGGTGGAGAGGCGCCAGCTTGCCCTGGGCCAGTTGCCAGAGTTCCTACAGAGCCATAGCGCTCTGTCGAGTGTTCTTCACCGGCTGAGACAAACGGTGGAAGCCACCAACAGCATGGATAAGAAGCAGTCTGATTTGCTGAAGAAGGACCTGAACGATGCCACGCGGGAGGCCAAGGCGCTGGAATCCGCCGCCATCGGTCTTGACGGCGTTCTTTCCAAAGCCCAGTACCATCTCAGAAGTGGAGGCTCAGAGCACAGGACTTCCTGCAGAGCCACGGTGGATCAGCTGTGCTTGGAACTAGACAGGCTCCAGAACCTTCTGGGAACCAAGCAGAGTGAGGCCGATGCCCTGGCAGTACTGAAAAAGGCGTTCAGGGACCAGAAAGAGGAGCTGCTGAAAAGCATTGAGGACATTGAAGAAAGGGCCGACAGAGAGCGACTGAAAGAACCCAGCCGCCAGGCTGTGCAGCAGAGGTGACAGGAAGGGAATGGACGGGCGTGGGAGCCTGGGCCTCTTTTATGAAAATTAACGTGTCACATAAAAACAATAATGTGTATGAAAAGTTATTAGTGTTACCAAAGAGAGAGGTTTCTTTTTTCTAATATTTTGAAGATAAATTTGTGACCAAGCCAGCGCTTAAGATATGTTATCTTTTCTTTGATTTTTCAAGAGGATTTTCCCAAGGGCTGTCTGTATATGGAAGGAAGGAATCCTGGTTGTACATCAGTTAAGTGTTCAACTGCTAACTGAAAGGCCAGAACTAACACCCTCCAGCAGGTTCAAGAGAGAAAAGGCCTGGCGATCTATTTCCATGAAGATTACAGCTGTAGAAACTCAGGCAGTTCTAGTCAGGCCTACAGGGTCACTTAGGAGTCAGAATCAGTGAAGAATGGTTGACCGAGGAAAATCATTCTTACAGTAATCATCTCTTTTCGTAAAGAAGATAATTTAAGCTTTAATAACGTTTCTTTCCAGACTGTTTAATCAGCAAAGCTCTTAATTTTAGTGCAACTATGATTCTTTCCCCCCACCTCCTACCCCCAAGAAAGCTAAAATGTAATCTCAGCTGGACTAGGCCATTTGTGAGTCTTAAACACAGCTTGCTGTTTCAATATTTTCATGGTGAAACCACATTCCTCCTTAGGAATACTATTCAATTGTTATCTCTTTGATCAAGCTTCTGAAAAAGCAACTAACAGCTACAACCACCCTTTTCTTTTGTGGTCCCACTATTATTATATGTGGTAGGTAGACTGAATCTTCAGAGATGTTCCATGAAACTGATTCTTGGACGTTATTAATATATTATGTGACAAACAGGACTTTGCAGATGTGATTAAAGTGGTTGTAGATGTTACTTGCTTTTCCTCACATATAAATGTGTTAACTTTATGTTAATGAAAGTTTTCATAGAGATTGGTTTCATTCATTCATTCATGCACACTTTTCTCCCTCCCCTGAATATAACAACTATTATGTTAAAATGCAACTTTATAAAAAATGAGACACATGACTCATGACAATGACTTCTGCAATCAGTACTCATGCACTTGGCCTACAAGGTCAGTTCTTATACTAGCAAAGCAAGGTCAGAAGAGAATATGAACTCAAAACAAGGCTGAGCATGTTGTGTAGGCTCATCTGAGATAATTTTGGAAGTTAACTTTTAAAATAGCTGTCAATTATTAATGAGCGTGGGCTGAATTTTTCTACTGATTGCTGTGTTCTACGTGTCCATAATGTGTTCATAGAAAGGAAGTAGTATTTTACTAACTTTAGGAAAATAACACAGTATTTTCATTCCTAGGTTGAGAGTCTTTAACCAGTTGGAGGATGAATTGAATTCACATGAGCATGAGCTCTGTTGGTTGAAAGATAAAGCTAAACAGATTGCCCAGAAAGATATTGCTTTTGCACCTGAAGTCGACAGGGAGATAAACCGTCTAGAAGCTACCTGGGATGACACCAAAAAAGTAATCCATGAGAAGTAAGTCACAACTTCTCAGCACTTACTTTGTGATACTGGACCATAGTTGTTGGTTTATTTCCGTGGTATGAAGAGTTGAGAATCTTTTTTCCGTCTTTATTCAAACAGAGAATTTTGGACAATCATTCTAAATTGGATTTAGGGTCACCTGCGTTACAGTTAATGTGATAGTGGTATTTTTGAAAATTATATGTCAAATCTCACTATTGTTGTTGGTAGGTGGTGTTGAGTCACGTATGACTCATAGCGGCCCTAAGAACAGTGGATCTGAATCCCATTCTGTTCTGTGACATCTTCACACATCCCAGTCTAGAGCCCATTGCGGCAGTCACCGTGTCAATCCCCCCCATTCCTCTAGTGTTCAAAGTTTTCTTTTTTTAAAAAAGAATCTTTTTTAATTTTGATTTTTTAAATTAAATTTTTATTATTCATTTCAGTGAAAATTTACAGAGACTTTGGATTTCCATTCATTCATTGTTGCACTCTTCTTCCTGACCTCCCATCCCCCCAATACACTCCCTTCTTTGAAAAGTAAAAGAAAAATTCTTTCATTGTTGACCGTCCCTCTTCCTAGGTCCACTCCACCATGCAGCCGTTGATCTGGACTCCTGTCATGACAAAAATACCTAATCACATATCCCTTTGAAACAGTTTCCTCCCTCATCTGTTTCAATGCAGTGTACATTATTTATCCCATCTTTCTCAGTCTCCCCCCAACCCTGGTGTCAGTCCTGTTTTACAACAATGGCACTATGCAGTCCTTCTGTGACTGAGATATTTCACTCAGCATAATGTTCTCCAGGGTCACCCATTTTGAATAATATTGCATGAGTTCCTTGTTTTTCAATGTAGCATAGTGTTCCCTTGTGTGAATATACCACAGCTTCTCTAGCCATTCGTTTGTTGATGGGCTCTTGGGCTGTTTCCAACTCCTTGCTATTGTGAACAAAGCCGTGATAAACATGGGTGTGCATTTAATTGTGATTTTAACTAGTTTACAGAAAAGTTAGATTTTCATTCATTCATTGTTGCACATTTTACATCCTCTCCCTCCCTTCCCTTCCCCCAGTTCACTTTTTCTTAAAAAATATTTGTTCATTGTTGCACAATTACTTCCCTTCCTGCCTTTCCCTGAGTCCTCTTTGCAATGCACCTGTTATTCTGGGCTGTTGCATGTATATTTCTTTTTTATTATATATTATAATATATTAATATATTCCTTTTAAGCAGTTCTTTCCTTTTTCTGTTGCAATGACAGGATTTTCAGAGGCTTGTTATTTAAGAAGTGCATGGGCATTCCTTCTTCCTTGGCTGTCTTCCTCTGGGAGCTCTACTAAAGCCTGTCCACCATTGATAACCTTTATGGCATTTGACACACCAGATTGCTTTGATTTAATTAAGTGGCTTGGTTAGCAATCAGGTGTAAGCTTATTTGTCACTTTGATTGAATTAGCAATCAGTTGTGGACTGGAAACCTCTTGTTTAAACCAATCAGGACCAAGTAAGCCGGGCCTTTGTGTTTAAATGTTGGATAGGGGCTTCAGGGCCACAGGTGTTGGACTCAATGTGAAGACTGATTTATTATTAAAGTTACAAACTAAATTGGCTGTTTACTGTGTTTGTGAAGAGCATTGTTCTAATTAGTACAACACTTGTCTGTCAGATTTTTGTACTGAGATAACTTGTGGGTTACTGTGATTCTGAAAGCTATGCCACTGGTATGTCAAATGCCCTATCTAACCATAGAGAACGTTTTACTTTCTTAGACATAACAGTAAATGAGATATTTAATCATTGCAGCCAGGGTCAATGCTGTGGACTCATTGACTTGATGAGAGAATATCAGAACTTGAAGGCAGCTGTTTCCAAAGTCCTCGACAGTACCAGCAGCCTGATTGGGACCAAAACAACTATAAAAGATCAAGAAGACCTAAAATGGGCTTTATCTAAGGTAATGAGTAAAATTTAGTTCTTTTGCTAGACAATTTTAGTACAATTTTTTTACTTGTAGTCAAATTCTCTGCATAACTCTTGTTAGTGCTTTTAAATGTGGGTAATCCATGCTTAATAAAACTATTCATTTTTTACAAATTTTGCTAATTTTAAATTGGAAAACTATCTGTAGAAAACTCAAGAAAGACCCACACCTCACACCATACACAAAACCCAACTCAAAGTGGATCGACGACTTTGAGTAAAACCAAGGACCCAAGAGAAAAACTTGGAAAAACTCTAGAAGCCTTAATCCACATCTTGAACAATCTCCCAAGCACCCTGAAAAATCAACAACCAGGAAAGGATAAATTAGATATATGATATCTTCTAAGAATCAAATCCCTATGCACATAAAAAAACCTAACAGGGTAAAAAGGAAAAACACAGACTGGGAAAAATATTTGGTAGTGACATGTCTGATAAGGGACTTTATATCTAGAATTTATAGAATACTCCAGCATTCAACAAAATAAAGTTAAACAACCCAGTTTCAAAATGGGCACAATATGTGAACAGACACTTCATCAAAGAAGACATTCAGACAGCAAACACATACACAAAGAAATGTTCAAAATCCCTTAACAACTATGAGATATCATCTCACTCCAGTAAGAACAGCAAAGTTAAACAGAGCCGCAAACAACAATTGCTAGTGAGGTTATAGAGAAGTTAGAACCCTTATTTAGTGTTGGTGGGAGTGTAAAATGGTGCAACCACTTTGGAAGGCAGTATGATGCTTTCTTAAAAAGTTGGAAATAGAAATACCATTTGGCCCAGCAATTCCACTACTGGGAATATATCCTAAAGAAATCAGAGCTATAACCCAAACAGATATATGAACATTTATGTTTATTGCTGTGTTGTTCACAATAGCAAAGAGATGGAAGCAACCCAATTGCCCATCAACAGATGAATGAATGTATAGAGAAGCTGTGGTATAGTCACACAATGGAATACTATGCAGCACTGAAAGCAAGGAACTTATAAAATATTATGCAAAATGGATGATCCTGGAGGACATTATGCTGAGTAAAATATCTTAGTCACAAAATAATATCACTGCTATATAACAGGACTGACATGGGGGTGGGAGAAAAACTAAGAAAAGAGGTAATAAATAGTGAATACTGCATTTAAATAGATGAGGGCAAGAACTGTCTAAAAGAAATATACGGTTAGGTATTATATGTATGACAATAGTCCAGAATAAGAGGTGCATAGGAAAGCGGACTGGGGGGTAGGGGCTGGGAGGTGGAGGGAGGGACGAAATTGTACAACAATAAAAAGAATCTTTTTTCTATTACTTTTAATGAAAATTTACAGAG